AACTCTATCCCAGCTGAAAACAGGACAATGCTGCAGTTTATATTTTCATTCTAGATCTGTATTAAACGAGTCCTACACTCAGATGTTTTTAGCTAAAAGGCAGTTTTAGAGAAAGACAGTCTCAAAGAAACAGCTTTATTTGGAAGAGTTTCAGCTGTCCTGGTTGTTTTCACTCTCTCTCGTACGTAAATCTAGATGGGAAACTAACGTCCCACATAACTGGAAAAAAAAAAATCTATTTTTAAGCAAGTTTTAAAACCAATAATTTCTTTGGGGAAACTTTGTTTACATTTTTTTCTTAGCTTCAGAAAATTGGGTCAAGATATATTTCCAGGTAAGTATAAAAAAAATACACCATTCCCATTCCCTGACCATCGTGGAATGCCACTCTGCAGCTGGTACAAGAAAATTTGCATAAGAATAGAATAGAAGGATATAATAAGGATATAACTCATCACCCTGATTTTACCTGAAGACCAGACTGCTTACTAGGACTGTTTTAGCCTAATTTTCCCCTTGTATTTAAAGTATCTGTATTTAAAGGTCAACTTTGATTAATGATTAAACAAAATTATTAATTTTGTATGAATGCACACAATATATCGTGGGATACAGAAAAGAACATTCTTTGTCATTTTATCCCTGTGTGAATTTTTGGAGGATGAGTAGTAAAGTATCTTAGAAAAAAAGATACTTTAGACCAGCATCGTCAAGTCTGAGGCTTAAATGGCAAGGTAGGAGGTTTTTTGTTTGAGTTTTTTTTGGTTTTGTTTGGTTTGGTTTTTTTTAAATAAATGAAGGTACTATCAGCTAATGCAACCCCTTGCTAGGCTTGCCTGGAATGTCTAAGGATGAAGGCTAACAGACATCAGACTTTAGGACAACACTGACACAACAACTATCATCTAAAATTTCTTTCATAGACTGGATCCTCTATGAAGAAATACACTAAATTAACATGACACTTACTTCAGCTTGCCTGCAGTCATTTATAACCTCAGTAGCTTTGTCTTCTAGCGTAGTCAGCTCTTCTGTCAAGTTTTTAATTTCTTTCTCATTATCTTCAATTTCCTTCTCCGTGCGAAGAACAGACTCTTCAGATTTTTTCAGGTTTCTGCATGGGTACCGAGATGTTTGTATACCTCACATGAGTGCAAATATGACGTAAGATAATCCAGAAACACAACCTTACTTATCAAGATTGTTCAATTGCTATTGACAACCAAATAGGAAGTCCTTATTTATGCATGAACTCTCACACTCCTGAGATATCCAAGTAAAACAAAGTGTTGTCCTTAAACATATAGCAGACAGGCCTCATTAAATGACTTAATTTGTTCTTTCAGAGACAGTTTGGACATTTGTTCTGAGTATTCATCATGCATTGTTAAGCTAACATTAAAAAAAAAAAAAAAAAATCACATTTTATTTCCTGACATGTCTCTTAATAAAATTAGTCCCTTCAGATTTGAACTGCTCCACTGTATGGCAATTAAGTGCTATTTTGAATCTTTATCCTGAAATATTGCATTTTAGTGTTAGGCAAATATTAGCAGAAAAATTAAACGTGACTTTTAAACAGCCTATAGAAACAAAAAAAATTTATTTCCCTTTACCTCCTCGACACAAGCAACATGTAGTATTAGACATGCAACTGAAAATTAAGATTTTAAGATCAAGGAATTTTTAGCTATGGAAACTACTTAAAACAAGCAAATGTCCTGCAGGCACTGATGTCAACAGATACATTTGAAGGCTGACGTGACTCTCCTTGGTCAGGTTTCACTAAGCTTTCTAGGTCTCCGATCCTTTGCCTGTAAAGCACACTAACAAAGAATACGGTTCTTAATTAAGAACCAGTCTCAGTTTGAGGTAAATAAGTTTAGAGAAAAAGGTTATGACCTTCTCCCTCCAGTTTTCCTCTAGTCATAAAGAGGTGAAAACCATCTCCTCCACCTGACAAATCCCCCATGGAAAGGTCCAACTGTAATCAAACACGAATCGCGGCAATATACAATTACAGTCTAAAGCTTTACCATTGAGCACACTGATGTCTACTATACCTGTCCGCAGTCTTGACTGCCACCTGCGCTTTAGTAATAGTTGAAGTACATTCATCTATTTCTTTGTTGATCTTATCAAGTTTGTCTTGCTGTGCTTTAAGTTTATGATTATTGATCTCAATTATGAGGTTATGTAATCGTTTAACTTCATTTTCTATTTTACCAGCTTTCTCAGCAATGCAATCATAATCTGTCAATAAACAAAATCAAGGTCATTATGCTGTCCCTAGGAACACTGGACTGCTGCAATGCATCAAGATTTAAGTGACAAAAAGCTCTGCTCTATTACTATCTTGAGAAGTTCTTTATACTGTGAAAAATGTTGTTTGGTTTTTTACTGTGGCAAAAAGAAAAATACCACCCACGTCTTTCTGACACCATTATACTACCAAAGCTTTTTTGGTGTAAACCACCAAAAATTTTAATTAGATTACATAATGTACATAGAGTACTTAAATACATGAGATAGTACATTAGAATGTATTCCAAGTATTCCAAGCTCATTCTTTGCATTTATTTAATGGGAAGATGCTCAAAGGGGTTAAATTGTAAGAACTGGCCACTAACTGTTGCTCTGTAGCTGGTATTACTGTGTAGTTACTACACATGCTGAATAATAAGATAGCCTATTCTAGCTTCAAGGTAGATAAGTTTCCTTATTTAGCATATACTTAACAAAACCATCTTAATAAGTTGAACAGCTTTCAAAAATTAGACAGCGTAGCACCTTAGTATTCTAAGGGCAAAACAAACAAAATCCCACACTAAGTTTGCTACAAATTTATAATTTCCTTCTGGGGACAGAAAGGGTAAAGCAAAGACTTGAAAGGTGGAAGGCAGTCATCTCTTCAGAGGAGAACACAGGTTTGTGTGTCTCCATTATTTGGTGGAAATGTTAGAGAAGATATTTGTAAGATCAAACCTTAGAGTGATTGAGGAAGTAAAGCATTCATACTCTCTTGATACTATACTGTTCAAAAGAGGCAGAGAGAGAATCCGTAGTAGTATATATTCTCTTTCCTAAAATGCTATGAAAGCAGAATTGTGGGGGAAGGGAATTATGTTTTGCTGTGCTCATATTATTCCCTGAGCAAGAAATACAAAGAAGCAGTCAAGGTTTACTTTACTAAGCTACCAGTTGCTTCGGAGAAACTGTTATTCAAGTTCTCAAAGTAAACATCTTTCACAAAAAGAACAGGAGTACAGTGTGTCCACAACAGAACACAGGGTATTCGTTTTATAGAGTCATGTAATAGTTTAGTTAGAGCATGGCAAAAGCCTTTACTTGACTTTAATATAATTACCCTCCACATTAACAATTCTTACCCCTAATTAAACTAAGTTTCCCTATGAATCTGTATGTAATACAGCCATAAAAATCTAACCAAATAAACAAAAAATACTAAAATTAATATTTACTTCAGCTTGACTGAAACATGAACTTGACTCTAATCTCTAGAAGCACCATTTATCCCCGCCTTAGAAGGAAAGAGGTTCCAAACCAAGATACGGTAACCTCAAAGAACAAAGCTGTAACCATCCACTCCTGTATTAGTAAAAGACTACAATTTTTATCTATAATCCCCTCTCCACAAACGTACCTTTTTTATAAGTACTAAGGATTTTTTCCAATTCCTTCTGTTTGTTTTTGTCCGGAGCAGCAGCAATTACATTTGCTTCAAGTTCCTTGACTTGGGTTTTTAGATGAATTTCTTGTTCAGATAAACTCTACAGAAAACACAACTGTGTTAGAATCCTGTACTTTAAAAAGATCCTTGACACTAACAAGGACTATGCTAAGCTGCGGCTGAGAAGTCATCCCCCTGCACATTCATGGAGAAGCCAGATATTGCCTCAATAATAAACTTGTTCACCTGGATACTTGCTGTATACTTTTCTAAAGTATTTCTCATTTCCCGAACATCTTGGCGCAGTTTTCTTATGGCTTCTTCAAGTTGTAATTTCTCTTCTTCACGCTGTACTGCTCTTTCAGAATCCTTCTGCAGTTGAGATTCCATTTTATTGATCTACACAAAAATGAGATACGATCATTTGCCTAGTGTCACCACTACAAAACAAAGCAAGATCTCATTCATGTGCTCAACAGTCTATGATCTCTTCAAACACAAGAAGAAAGTGGAGTAAAAACGAAAATTTGCTGTAGCAGGACAGAATGTGGAGGCTGACTGCTGAGAAGATCAATTATAACAGTGAAAAACAAGAGGAACAAGCACAAGAAAAAGTAAGCTGAAGAATCCCTGTCAAAATGTCTCGTAATGGAGAATTGTTTTAAGGAAATAAAGCTAGATTAAGCTTGAAAGGCTTAAGTCAGAGTAGTGAAGGCAGAAATCAAAAAACACACAAGCAGAAGCTAGAAGCAATTTTTACTATAGTTAAGATTTGATGCTCATTGGTTTCTGTGGTAATCTGGTGTTAGGAAGACAAGCTTTTGCATGTAGTAACTGGCCAAGCGACCAAGTCTTGCAATTCACCTTCAAGAGCAGAAGGAATAGGGATACATTTCAGATCTCAGCTTGTTTCCTGTTTTTACATATAGAGAACTGCCTAACAGGCGCAGATATGAATATGCTTGTTCTACCTGGAGTTGTCCACTATGCTAGACAGGTACAGAGTCAAAACTCTTGAAAACAGAGAAATTAAGTTATAGCTACTGATCTTTATCAAGCGCCACAGTATCTCTCATGGGCCAAACAGAAAACAGTACATAAGCCTGTCTCTTGGAGAGAACAAACAATGAATAAATCTAAAGAGTGAAGACAAGAAATAGCAAAGTCCCTTATTAGTAAGATCTGAGCTGCCTTATATATTTATTGACCCTTCACAAGGCTAGGGCAATAACACTTTGTCCATGAGGTTAGTTCGTTAGTCCTCTACAAGTACAGCATTATCTGAATAGGCTTGACAAAAAAAAAGAGTTGTATGTCAAACTCTCCAGGGTTTGCAGAATTTTATCTTTTCTTGGCCAATGCAATCCTATTTTCCAAGCCAAGTGAAAGTGAAAATACAGAAGACAGATGAGAGAAGAATATATTTTAACCTCTCAGTGATAAAACCAAAAAGTGCAGAAACATCAGCAATTACAGCAAAGGTGGTGACATGGTTGTCTCCTCCACCAGAGAAATCAGACAGAGAGAACCTTAAAGTTGAGTTTGTTTTTGAAGTTCTCCAATTTGAAAGTATTTTCACCTAAAAAATACTAACTACTGTTCCTGTGTCCATAGTGGTAAGCAAATATCCAACCCTTGTGTTGGCTTATAGCTCTCATTCCTAATGAGCAAAAGCTTGTTCTCCCGTAGGGAGAGGACTGATTTCAGGAGCCGTGGTTTACTTGACAGTTACACTGGGGAGCTTGTCTTCTTGAAGAGGTATTAACACTTCGATGTTTCATCTCAATTAAGTTGATCAGCAGATACTAGGCAAAAAGGACAGTTTCACCCACACTAAATAAAACTACAAACTAAAACCTAAAAGAATTCAGAAGAAAAAACAAGCTGTATCTCGATATTCCAAAACACTCTTGAAATACAAGTTTGAAGGAAAGCTCTGCCATTCCCTGACAAATCTTACACGGACAAAATGAAGGACCAAACCTGTCTTGTCTTGCTGCTGAGAGGTTTGTGCGTACTGCTCTGCAGCTCAATGGTTCCTTATGATCAGTATCTTCCATGTTCTCATCCCTACCTTCAATCAGTTTCCAAGCTATCAAAGGTAGCATTATGAGACTAAAAATTAAATAATAGGTATATGATAGCTGGGCTGTGAACAAACACACTTAAGAGCAATATAACCTATGCTAACCTTGTGAACTTTAAATCATTGTTAATGTATCTTGCATCACAGATTGTTAACTACTCATGCTGATTTAAAGGGACATAGAACACATGTATGAACTGCCAAAACATAAGGAACTTTCATGAAATTCCACTTTTAATTAAGATTATGTACTAACCTCTTCTTCTGAAACATCCATTACGACTGAAGAACCCATTCTGCCCTTCATTATTTTACCCCCACCACCAGTCATTGTTCCTAAAGTAAAAGAGATGAAAAGAAGTTAGCGAGCTAATTGTGCTTAGATATCATCTATAAAGTGCTTAAAATATAATTGTAAGTTTGCACTTAAATACCTGACTGTTCAATGATTTGTCCTTGCAGTGTTACCACCCTCCATCTTTTATCGTTTTGGAATGCTACTCTGGTAGCTTCTTCCAAGTTATTAGCTACTAGGGTATCACGTAATGCGAAATAAAAAGCCAGGCGAACCTTCTCGTCTTCTACTTTCACCAGATCAAACAAACGAGGAGTATTTTCAGGAGTTGGGATTTTTTGAATTTTTTTTTCCCATACAGCCATCTACATCAAAAAAGTAAATAAATGACAGAGATTCCTTAGGGTAAATTATGAGGTCATTTCATTATTCTAAGGTATGTTAAGGCTTTAAAGCAAATGCAATTGTACTGCAACTAACAGTAAAGCTTCCTTCCTTGGGGATCTCTACTTACTTCTAGTATAATTAAAAACTCACTAATAACTCATTGTTCTCTTTCATAGTTTTCATAGGTTACAGTTACTAGATTACTTAGATTATTAAGTTTGCTAATTTGTCAAAAAATCAAAATATAAAAACATAAAAGACACACCAAACATTTGTTGTACACATACAGCTATCTAAAAAGCCTTATAATTTTCTGTAAGTAAACATTATCATTTGCTAGTACAATATTCTAAGGTACCAACAGCCTATTAAAACGTTTTATATTTTAGCTTTACCTGTATTAATACATACACAGTGTAATATATTAATATATATAATACACATTTATACACATGCATATTAATACATTATACATATACAATATTAATACTGTGCACATTAGGGTAAATCAACAATTTGTTTTGCCAAAGTGCTTAGTACTTACTTTGTCCAGGGCTATAAATGTGGCAACTCCAATTCCTGTTGCCTTTAAGAAATTCACACATTCCTGTGCAGTATCAATTGTATCAACAACGATGTTGTCCAAGGCACCGCAAGACGATGAAATAGCAACATCATACTTTTCACTGATAGCTCCCAAGTCTCCCTAATAATTGGGGTGGGGGAGAGGCAGAAGTACACTGATTAGCTCGGCATCAATGTTTTGTCTTGGTATTACGAAAGAAATGACAAAACTTTACAAAGTGAAATGAGATGAAAACAAATTATAAAACAATTTGCTGTGAAAGAACTTAAACCTTAATTATTTTACAAATTCTAATACCACACCTGTCCTCTCCTGCACGCTGCTATTTATGCATTTCTAATGTACGTGGTTCCATAGTAGAAATTCATATACTTAGAGCTTCAAAAGCGGTGCTTCTGGTAGAGCAATGTGGTAGCATTGGTTTATTTTCTGTAGACAAATGTTAAATTTTATATGCCAGCATTTTAGCGAGGCTGTCTGGCCTAATAAAATAATTTCATGTGTTCTGTGTATGGTTCTACATTGGTCAGTTGGGTAGGACCCAGCAAGTCACATACTTCTGCTTGCTGTCCTGTACTGATCTGAAAAACAGGTACAGGGGTATTCATCATCTTTGAAAAATTCTTGTGTATCTGCAGATAAAAACAGCATGCACAGCCAACAGTGAGTTATACAAGAACAGATTAACCTCACACTTCTCTGTGTGGCAAGTGATAGCACAGCATGAGACAAAATACATGCCAGCTGCATTAGACAGTGGTCTGCTGCTGTTTAAACTATATCCTTTTTTAATAAATCTACACACACGCTTTCTAAATACACATACACTAAATAAACTGAGATATTTCTCCTTGGATAAGCAAGTGGGAAAAAAGAGAAAGTTGCAGAATACAAAAGTAGTATTTTTACATTTACACTGATATGTATTGTTCGGTGCTAGTAAAAAAACCAAAAGGAATGAAGAACTCTACCTCAGTTGCAAATTTTCAGAACTATAAATTAACACTGCTTAGAAAGAACTGATAGCACTCAACATTTTGCTATGAAATAGCTTTCCTCGGTCTTCTGAAACAACAATATCGCGCTTTTTGATTTGACATGTATGCAAGTAAAACAAAAGGAAACAAACAGCAAAGAGATCACCAAATTTTATAAATTTTGAAGCAAAAAAAAGAAAATGTGTACAGTTCCACATTAAGTTACATACAAGTTGTAAGATGTTTTTTTAAGTTTCATGGCAATTCTACCAAGTGTGCAGTTACCAATTGATTCTACCTTCTGCAGCACCAGAAAGTAAAAAACACTACTCCACTATACTTCTCCAGCATATATGTTCCTAATGTTCAAAGGAATCAGAATCACTACAGCTGTCAGTCGTAGCCCAACACAGAAGCACAGGCAGGACCAAAGCATGGACAGGTTACAAGACATTGTTATAGTATTCTTGGCTTGAGCACATTCCCACCGAAATTGCAGCTAACTGATTCAGCTTAAAGATCAGCCTACCAAAAATATGAAGCTTTCTCATAGACATTGCCTTTCCTGTGTGCCAAGTAGAGGGACCTCAACAATCTTTTTTTAATTTATAGCAAGTCCACAGGATCTGCAACTCTGCTGCCCAAACAGCACCACAGAAGTGAGGAATTCTATATTTCACTCAATTACAGAAACACAACTCTGTTCCTACAAAGTTTAAGACTAAAATTATAATAGCCTTTTAAAATTTACCAGTCTTCCATATAGTCCACGAATATTTCCAGATTTCTTCTGCTGAAGCAGAGCCTCAAGCACTTTTCCTCGACTGCGACTCAGTGCTAAAGAACTTTTGGCTTCTTCTACTTTTTGACGCAGATTTCGAACAAGATTCTTAGCACCTGATTCTTCTCTTCCCAGCTTCTCAAGGTCATTGTCTTTCTGATGGTTAAAAGACAGACATTATCTTAGCCTCACAAAAACTATTGTACTGAGGGAGTCTTAGATTCACGATTGTGTAGGCAATGAAACCAGCCACTGAAAAGCAGAATAGCAAAAGATGTACCAGAAGAAAGGCTGGTATTTGGATACACTTTGGCTAGTACACTTTGATACAAATGTGACAGCTTATGAATTCGTGAATCAGGCTTAGGACAAGGTAGTAGGATTTTTTTTCTCTTTGGGGAATGAGAGAGGAGCAGGAAGTGAAATTCAAAGAAACATAGAAACATAAATATTTATTTATTTATTTGAACATGTCTCATTATGATATTTAAACTGATTCCCTTGCAGGGATATATACGATTTAATTTTCAGTGCTTAATGTTAACATTTGCTTAACCCAAAATAAGTTTGAAATCAAATACTTCACCGGTTAACTGAGTATTAGAGACAGTTTTTAAATGTTATTTTATTGGAGGCAGTTTTGAGCGGAACTTTGGTTTGTGTGTTGCAACATGGTGTTGTAACTCAAAGAAATTATACATGAAAGTTAAGTCTCACCTCCTTTAATTCCTGTTCAGCTTGGGGTAATTTTACATCTATATCTTTAATAGCAGCTTTCCTTTCCTTAAGGGTTTCTGACGTAGTCATCAGAGCCTCCTTTGCCTGATTTAACTGAGACACAGCAGTGTTGTGTCGGCTGAGATAGATATCAAGCTCTGACTGGGCTACATCCATCTTTGAACGTGCTTCATTCACTGCCTTACTAAACTCCATAAGCTCTTTCTCTTTGCTCTGCAAAAATGGACAATGTTACAACTAAAAACAGACAACTGTGGGATTTATTACATCAGACACACTGTATGAAAGAAAAAGAGGAATGGGCATGTTCTTTTACTAGCTCTCCTGTCAGCAGTAAACAGTTACGTTATCTAGAAGAACAAGTATATCTTATTTATTAACATACTCTGTACGGAAATGAAATAAGGCGTTTTTCATAATTATAAAGAACATCAGGGAATTATCTTAGAACATTTCTACAGAAGCTTTATATCATTTTCTCAGCTTAAAGTTGGGAGGAGCCTTATACATTGTACTAAATTACAGATCAAATGGAGAAACCATGTTTTCAAGTACAGAAAATAATCCCCCAAATTTACAGGATAAATTGCCAGCCTCCAGGTATTTAGTGATTGGACAGCTAATATCAACAACAATAACCAAGTGTTATAGTTAGTTGTCTATTAATTCAAAGACAGATTACAGCTGTGTGAAAAGCTTGGAAGATACCATTTCAAGATCTGTTTAAGCCATGTATTGGCTTAAACATTTTCACAGGAGAAAATTAAAGTGTGTTCAAATAATGGAAGTGTAGAATTATTCAATATACATATATGAATTATATACTTGATGACAGATGATCATTATAAAAAGCAAACAACTTAATGAGAACGATTTAACTCTGATTATAAATTCAAAATTAATTTCCCAGTTAGGCTCCATTGAACTAACACATGAAACGGTGTATTTGTCATATCGAACAGCATTTCACAACCATCTTGTGATCATTTCATTCATACGTGTAAAAGCTATACATCAGTCAATACAGTAAGTATAATAAGTCAAAACAGTTCAAACCTCTTTTTCTTCCTGAAGTCCTTGTGTTTCTTCCTTAAGGCTATCCATAACCTGCTTGAGTTTTTCTTCTTCCTTCTCTTTTGTCTTTTCTAGAAGCTCTTTCTTAGATGTTGCTTCGCTGATAGCTTTTTCACTACTGGAAGGTACATTTTTCAATTCTGCTACCTATGCAAGGAAAAGACTTTTAACTTCCTCTCCCACTGAAACAAAACAGTTTTGCCTTATCTTTAAACCCTGCCTTTCAAGTGCTATGTGGAAGTCAAAGGAAGCGTAAGCCCTAACGAAGCTCACGTGTTTTTGTAGGATAAGATACACTGTGGCTCTAGCAGAAGGCCCAGATTTTATTTGCAAGGCTTTTTCAGTTCTAGAGCTCATCCAGAGAGAAGCAAGCCATAGCAGTAAAAGAACATAGCTTTACGCATAAGAACTCAAGCCTTTGAATCACAATGAGGCTTAATTCTTAAATACCTACTTTCAGAAGGCCACTCTTGATCCAAAGAGTGATTTAAGATCTATAACAGCTGGCAACAACCAGCTTGGTAAAATATATCCATTAAATTAACTAGGGAAACAGAAAAAAAAAACAAACCAACACATTTTGAAAAGGTAGTAACTGTGAGAACACAGAACATTCCTGTAATCTCAACAAACATGATAAAAAGATGCTTTGCAAGCCATGAGACCTCCCAACAGAGCTGAGAAGCAACAGGAAGGCTTCTGACTTTGCCTTTAGGCAGAAAACAGCCTGGTACTGCTGGCCACAGTCTCCCATAGTAAGATGTGCAATGAGCAGTAGTTTAAGGGAGAATAACGCATTACTTCAGTAAGTGATTTGCAAACAAAATCCCGAGCTCATTTAAATGACATAAAATATCTGATTAAAAAAATTTAAAACATATTTTTCCATCTTCTTTGTTGCACAAAGTACAATTGGTGTCCTTTGCTATTTTATCCCAGCTGCACAAAGATGTTCTCATCTAAAGCAACCAAATACATTTCTTTAAGTAAATCAAATTGCAGTTCACACTACCTTCTCTTTGTCCTTTTGAAGTTGCTTCTCCAGTTTTTTAGCCTTACTTTTGGCATGTTTAAGATTTTCCCTTATTTTAACATCCTGCAAATCCAACTGAGTAAATTTTTCTTTATTTTCCTCTACAAACGTTGTAATTTTATTGAGTTTCCTAAAGGAAAAAAAAGAAAGAATAATCTATTCTATGCCCTATAAAAATAATGTCAGTAGAGCTTAACTTAGTAGTAAGCATATAGAATTTTAACCAATACTACTCAAGTTTTTGTGAAAAACAACATCCAATACTTACTATATTCACAGTATTTTCCCCGCGGAAGTGATGTTTCATCAGAAAAAGACCAACTACCAAAGCAGTATTAAACACATTTTCAGAAATTTTATTTTTTATTTGATAGAATTTATAATTCGCATATCTTTCAAATAACTTACTATGATCTCAGAGGATGAGAAGGTTAATATTGCAGTTGGATTGGAGATTAGCACCCAGACAAATCAATTTTAAGGAAACACAACTTATGCATAAGAGATTCATAAAATCCATGTACCTCAGCATTATCTAAAAACCTGAAACAATCTCCCAATTATTTTTTGTAGTCAATATAAAAAAGTACGTACTTCAAAATCCATCAAAAATCAGACCTTTTCTTATTGTAATTGTGAATATTACCCAGATTTCTCCAAGAGAAGCAACCTGCAGAACCAAATCAAACCAATGAGAATTTTTTAAAGTTTATTTTTGTGCAAAAGATCATTTAATCCATGCCAGGGAACATTTAGATATACCATAAGTGGCACTGCTCATGAGATAATTTAAGTTTTTGGTGGAAGAACTACTGAAGAACCCAGCTGTCCTCCCTGTGTTTGATCATCTTCCCATGCAACTATCGTATACTTCTGCGTTCTCAGGTGTTTCCCCCCTGCAATACAACTACCACAGCTTTTTCTGAAAATCCTGTTAACTCTAACACCACATACGCAGAACATATAAAACAGTACTTTTAGCTTGCAAGTCTACACCTACAGTACTTACTTTTCAAGTTCTTTTAAAGCTTTATTCTTGGTTTTCATTTCATCTGCAAGTTTACTACTCTTCTCATTAACATCTTTTGTTTCTTCGTTAATTTTTTCTTTCTGCATTTCCATATCATTTACTCGTTTCTTTAGGTCATAGCTAGGAAAAAAAAAACCAAACAAACCGAAAACTCCACTTTTTTCCATAAAGCTAACGTTCATAACGAATATATATTTCCAATCTTAAGTGTAACAAAGTGATTATGTAAAGTATTAAATCTTAATATCCATTATTGAGTAGCCTTGCCAATTTAATACAAAACAGCAAGGAAATCTAACAACTTAGATACTTCAGATGAAAAAGTCTTTAAGTGATCTACTTTCTCAATTTAAGTATAAAGCTGCAAGAGATTAATTTGCCAGACTACTTTACTTTGTAAAAAGCTGGCAAGCAGGTTTTTGGTTTTGTTTTTTTTGTTGTTGTTGGTGGTGTTTCGTTGTTGTTTTGGGGTTTTTTTTAAAAAGTTTTTATGAAAATGGTCTCCATTTTCCACATTCAACTAATTTTGACGGACTGATATGGCTGTTAAGAAATGCAAAATATTTCTAATTAAAGATATGGAAGCAGAGTTTACCACCACCACTACCACATCAAAGCCAAATCAAAACTCTAGAGAAGTACTTACATATAGTATTGACAGATATTATTCTTTTCTTTAAACATTTTGTTTTCCAAACAAAGAAATTCAATGGCTTTATTCCTGTCCGCTTCCAAGGCATCCTTCTCTTTTTCCACCATTTTAACTCTATTTAACTAGACAAGACAGAGAGTCAGAGCTGACTTTACTGCTAGTACTACAGAAGAACAAACCATGAGAAAAACCCCAGACCCTTTGTAGCACACGTGTCCTCTGGAGAGATGCTCTTCAACAATTAACTCTGCAAGGCACTTTAGCACTACAAGCTTTCTGAAACAACAGATCACCATTTCTGCAGCAGAGACTATACTTTTAGGGCAATTCAAACAGTAATTTAAAACTAAAAAGGGGTCCTACAGATGCTAGGAACAGCTCAGGCAAATCAAGGAAGATGTAGGTGAGAAATAAAGAGGAGTTCTACATAGACAGTCCGTATATGTTATTTTCTATATTTCAACCTTTAGACTAGCCCCTTTTAAGTTAATTCCTGCAACTACGTATCTTTTGGTTTCCTTCCCAGCCATTAAAAAAAGTCTGCAACATATTAGAATTTACCAAGGACACATCAAGTAAAAAGAACTTTCATATTATTTAGTACTTTTAGAACTCAATGCATAAATAAAATGTTATGAAAGCAAGTTCTGCAATAGATCTACATAGCTCAAGTCACAACTAATTTTCAGTATTTTTAAGCCTCCTCATACAGCTGTGTGTGCATCAGTTTCAGTATTTTTAAGCCTCCTCATACAGCCGTATGTGCATCACCTCACCGACGCTCTGCCTCCCTCTTCCTCTGTCCTTTTCTTAGCCTATGAAAGGTTTCCCTGCTACTTCTCCTATTTGCTATTTAGCAAACAGGAGTAAGGCAGATAAAAAGCCCTATCTGGATATATTCAGATAATGATAATCTGTTTCTCTATTCAGTCTGCGAAGCATTTAACGCATGCAGATATGATCAAAGAGCGTTCAGCAGATAAAATCCTGTGTTCCAACTCAAGCATTCAAATCTTTGGGAATCGAAAGCCAACAGCTTTGTAAGTGTTTAAAGAAGGGCAACTGATGTTGACTGCCCATTTCTTTTATAACTGAGAGAAACAGCAGATGCAATAAAGGTAACTCAAAATTTCTCTGTACTTCTAGTCTTGTAGAGGAGTGCCAAATTTTAACCAAGTCTTTATGTTAACTGTTTTTCTCAAAAAATCCAACAATGAAACATTGCAAGTTTATATTTTTTACTTATAATTCAAACAAAACTTTCTGAGACTCACCTTTTCTCCTCTCTGTTCATTTAAAATCTCTACTCTGCGACACAGAGTTTGGATAGGATCTTTTAGTCGTGCAGATCCTATTAAGTCTTCTAAGTACTCAAGCATGCCCTCATCATGTTCAGTCTGGCCTTTCGGTTTCATCATTGCGATTTGCTCAACTTCCCCCTTGGAAAAGAAAAGTTTGATGTTTTCTTTTCTTAATGGTTTTTTTCTGAGGGAAAGGGTTAGTATTCTGAAAAAATACAAACATCTTTGGAATGCAGGTACGTGACCATATTCTAGCATTATAAAAAAAGAACAAAATAATGCAGTAACCAAACCTGACTATTCAGAGTAGAAATATACATGGGAAAACAAAGATCAAAATGAATAGAATTTTCCTCCAAGGAGTGCATGGTGGTGATGTGCATAAAAAACAGTGTCTCTTCTGAAGCCAACATTCAGGTCTAAATATTTTTTCATTTCTCTAAAGATTCAAAATGTACTTCCCCAACCTAAAAAAAGAAGAGGAAAATAGAGCATGCCCTCTAACTCATGTAGCACTCAATAGTCTTAAGGTAGCTTAATGAGGATTAAAGTCCCTGAAGGGTTCTCTTTAGAAAACAGAAGGTCCATAAAATCATGTCTGATGGATGAACTGGACTTGTAATTCATACAACTGAGACTTCCTTTTTGGAAAAAGAAAAGCATTCTTTAAGTATTAGGCTTCCTTCATTTAACTTCCTGTTATGTACAGCATTAACTTTAAATTATTAAGCTGAATAGTAACAATAATTTGATTTTTTAAAAAATAAGAATTAGGAAAGATTAAACTGAGACAATGACAAGGACTGTTTATTTTACTGATGCTATCATTAGCCAACGCAAAAAAATCTACTATCAATGTTTTATGCTTAGAACAGAGTAGCACAAAATCTTTCAAAATACAGATTATATTTTTTAAGTTACGTGGTCATATATCCGAAAGTGAAGACATGAAATACAATATACACATATTAAAATAGTATCTGGAGCAAGAATACATGTGATAGATGCTGCAAAAATTAAATAAAGAGAACACAGAGTAAAAAGTATTCATCCTTCAAAAACCCAGATAGTTAGGTACATGACAAGAGACAACTTATTTGTAAAACAGATAACCAATACTGCAGAGTACCAGTACTGGCCTTCGTGACTGATTTTTTAAAGACATGAAATAACAAGCTGGATTAAAGTTTTTAATTTAGTTTTAGAACTGACAAGATTTAAAAACAAAACAAACAAAATTTATATTCCAGTATCCAAGCTAGGTATGTAAAAAAAGCCTAAGTCTATATTCACGGAGTGAAAATATAGTTAAGAATTTAGTTGTCATTGTTGGCTGCTCGTTGAGCTTGAGCTGACAGCTAAGTCTCTACAAAAGTATGGATGAGGAAGAACTTCTCAAGAACATAGAGAGGGAGGGGTGATTAATGAGACTGCTGGAGAACCAGAAAGGACAGCCACAGAAGTCAACAAAGGGCAGGATTTCTAGGCAAGCATTGTTAATCAGACCTGTAACCAGCTAAGAACGTTGAGGATAAGGTACTCATGAACATTAGCTAAGGAAGTTACTAGAATTTTTTGCCAAAGTGATTTTGTTCCACGTACTCAGTATACAATGACACCTAGTGGCCCTACGCTTTTCTTCCAATTAGTAAATACCATTTGGCTGAGTAGAAGGGAAAAAGCAAAGTTTTGCAAATTTTGCAAAATAAGAACTAGTATTTAAGATAAGTCTTTCTTGCACCTAACTCCTTTGTTGGATTAAAGCACAGAGGCAGAGGGTTTGTTTTGTTTTTTTTTTTAACTTGAAATTCTAGAAGTTAAATGCATCTAAGCTTTTATTTTCTGTTAATCACTGTTCTTAAAAAGCGTCAGCAAGTTTGACAAGACAAAAAAAACCTAAAACAACCCAACTCTTACTTTTATTTCTTACACCTATCAAGAAGCCAAACAATTAGTTTTCTAATAACTGCAGTTGTATTATATACAATTCCAATTACACATTTGCTCCCTTGCCATGGAAGTATGATTTCTCTACTGAAAACCACCTGTCAGCGAGACACTGCTCACAGGTAGGAAACTGTGTAACCTAAATTTCTGTGGAATTATCTTAAGTCTCTATTTTGTTTCTTCTTGCATTAAAGCATTTCCTCTGTTTACATCCAAGAAAAAACAATCCCAGAAAAGATACTTAATTCAGGTGCTGAGCATCAAGTCTAAGAATTTTCTACACTGCATGTATATCCCTCAAGTTAGATGCTGCTGTAAACCACAAAACTACCCTGAATTTAACACAAGCACAGGAATTATGGACAAGCAAGGAATGTAAGTCAACTTTTTTGTTGACTAAGTATAATTAATCATCTTTAAGACACAACCATCTAAGAAAGATGATAATGCAGTTGTGAGGGTTCTGCATAGTTCACTAATGTAATATAACTGCAATATATTTAATGATATAGTAAATAACTAATGAAATTTAATCCAATTGTATCTAATTCTATAACCTCATAAATTAAGAAATCAGGGGTTTGGTTGTCTACATGGTAAATAAATACATCACCATACGACCAGGAATTGCTGGTGACTTCAGTTTAGGCCATACATACAATAACATTTTGACAAGTTGAAGTGAATTGAGTACTATTGAAAAGATAATGCACATGAATTGAACTTGTCAGGCTGGCTATTGCCAATTTTATATGCAATTCCTCTTCACCATAGGCAAGCAATTTTAGAAATACATATTATTCTTCTTATGTGAAGAGATGTAAATGAACTATCTACTTAAATTCTTGGATTCTTTTCTTATCAAGGGTAAAAATGAAAACATTTAGAAACTATAAATAGCTGAATAATAAGAATATTCAAGTATTAATATTTATATTATTTACCAAGTTAATATATTAAGAAACGTGTTTAGCCCACCCTTATAGTTAACATATTAAGAAACAAAAAGGTTTCCAGCTATTTTAATTGATAAAGGAGATTGAAAATGTTGTACCTGCTCTTCTTGCAAGAAGTCATGACAATGATTAACAGGAGAAAAACACATTTTACAACTCTGCATTCTGTTAAAACTTCGACAGTCAATTTAACTTTTTCCTAACTTTTTAACTGTGCTTATCACTTGACCCATTATTTGAATTATGTAAAAAAACCCCTAAAAAACCAAACAAAACAAACCCCCAACCTTGCTCATTTATCTAGTAAAAGAGCTTTTGAAATCCGGACAGCATTTTTGAAAGTGAAACTAAGGCGGCAGCAGGCAGACATTTGTTGAAAAGCAAACATGCTTGGGCATGCTTAACATAGCTGTCACAATTAAATTTAAGAGGTTTCAGAACAGACCACCAGGAAATCTCTTTAATTATTTGCCTCAGTTATCTTCCTCTAGTTCACAGGCAGGAATTCATGAGAGAAGAGAGAGCAATGCGCCAAAAAAAAAAAAAAAAAAAAAAAAAAAAAAAAAGGAAATCCTCTATTTAGTTGAGAAGACAATCAAAATGGATATTCAAAATGGATATTCAAAATGGACGTCAACACTAAGACATTGGTGACACTGGCAGACAGCTAACAAAGAATGAAACATCCACAAAAGTTAAGTAATCACTGTATGAAAATGCATCAAATATCCATTGAGTATTTTGGGAAGGCTCAGTGCAAGAACTCTAAGCAGAATTACGAACCCAATTTCAGTTTCCACACTGTGTGTGAAGTCTTCTACGTCAGACTGAAGTTATCATTGGGATGCTGGCACATCACTAGTAACAGAGGCAGTCAACTCAAACACTGTATAATGAACATGCATCTAAATGCCTCAGCTTAGTTACCAGAAAACAATTATTGCTACATTCTAATGGAGAACACAAGTTTATCTGTGGAGAAATTTCTAAGCAATAAAGTTAACTGACCGCTGTGACAAATAATGAGAAATCTTGCTTGACAGCAGACTACAAAGTTAAAAAAAAAAAAAAAAAAGGGTAAGAGCCATTCTCATTTGAAAGCCATTTCTTCTAGTGAAAAGTATGAGGAGTAACTTCAAGGAACTTGGAAGCTGGAGATTTCATCTTCCTTTGCATAGCCGAACTCTTGAGGAGGTGAATTATTTCAGTGCCATGACATTTAAGATACTTTCTAAATTTAAATTTTTGTTGTGCATAAGTAAAGAGCAAAAACTTTAAAGCAAATAAATTGTAAAAACCTTCAAAAACCAGTGTAGGAATTGCTCACAATAAAATTAACCATTTGAAATCAAGGACTTAGTTGAGGAGACTATGAAAGGGTCAGCATAAGCACCGGGTGAAGCAGCAGCACAAAACGCGCTAGCCAGGAGTGCCTGGACTTGCTGTGCCTTCTGCGTTCAAGCCCATGAGGACGCAGCGGGCGGATGCCCATGAAGATGTCCAATGAACTGACACAAGTGGTGACATCATCAGCATGATCTATCACTACTTAATGTTATGAGACTGCCAAGTCAAGGGTCTATCTATTTTGAGTTCTGTGCATTTCAGTAGAAGTTATATTCGCATCCTAGAAGTATTTTAGGAACGCTGTACATTTAATGCAAGACATCTATTATAGACAGAATTAATCAAATTTCAGTCTCTATGTTGCACGTGCACTCTTCTGTATTCATGTTAGACTAAAATTCTCATTAGGACTAGCACATCTCTAACAATGCAGGCAGCTTACTTAAATAGCCTCACTCCATTGCTATATGTAACTTCCTAGAGAAAATTTGTGAAGGGCAAGAATTTCACCTCCCATGTAGCCCTCAAAAGGTGGGACAATAAAATGCGTAAACTCTCTATTACCTCATTCCTTAGAACGACTACTATTTTCTCTAAAACTACACATTAATTTCTAAAAACAGCTGATCCTCAGAACAGAAAGCTTGTAATCTGAAATTATCCAATGTTTTCTGGCATATAAAGTTTTGAATTTTAATCAAGGTTATCAAACTGCTTGATAAAGGAAAGTTTTGACCTACTCATTAAGCTGCCCTTCTGCAACTCTTACCACTGGTCTTGAAACAGGATACTACTTTTCACTTCTGCAGATAACTCCTGTTTGTTGCTCTTGGCAGACACTAGCATTATGTTCCAGCAACCTTCCTTTACATCAAGAGTAGGGTCTGT